GGAGCGAACTCTGGGAGCTGGTGATGGACAGGGAAGCCTGGTGTGCCATAGTCCATGGGGTCGCAAAGAGTCAGACATGACTTACGGAGTGAACGACAATGACAGCCTATGCCTCTGCCCTCCCTCTCTCACTTCCTCGCTGTTTCTCCTTACCACTTAACCCTCATCTTTGTGTAACATACATAACCTTTTCTCCAACTCCCTTCCCACTCCTCTAAAAGACCAATGAGAGAAAGACGTTGGTCAGTTTTCTTAGCTATTGCATTCCCACTGCCTAAACACTCCTCGGAATATAGCAGGTGCCCAATAAATATTTGTCAAGCGAGTAAATTGGCAAGTGAATGGGCAATCCTGTAAGGTAAGTAAAATCAGTCCTGTTTCACAGGTGTTGAAACTTGGGCTCGAAAGGATCCTAGAAGCTTGAGCAAGGTCATGTGGCTGGGTAGTCAGGGACGCTGAATCCGGGCGCGGGGTGTGTGTGGCCTGGGGGTCTTCGGGGTCCTGCCTCCCCAGGCTCCGCGGTCAGCTTCTCACCAGCGCCCCCGCCTCAGGCGCCCATGGCCTCCGTGTCGCAGTAATGGGGACCCCTTCCAGGGCCCGAGGGACGGCGCCTGTCCAACACCCAGAAATGAACTGTCCGAGGAGACACACGTGTGGACAGAGCAAGAGACTACCGGGCAAGGACGCCTGGGTGGAGAGCAGCAGGGTGAAGGGCCCGGGAAGACTGCTCTGCCAGGTGGCCCGCAGCCTCAGGTTTTATGGTGATGCAATTAGTTTCTGGGTTGTCTTTGGTCAATCACTCTGACTCAGGGTCCTTCCCAGTTGCAAACACATTATTCAGCTGAGATTGATACCAGCAAGAAGGATTCTGGGGAGTGGTAGGACACGCGGCATCTCCTTTTGACCTTTCCCAAACTCTTCTGGTTGGTGGAGGCTTCTTAGTTCCGTGTTTCTTACCAGGACCTCTTGTTGTAAAATAATTAACGCAGATGGTTACTATGAAAACTAGCGTGGGGGTTTTCAGTCAGTGTGCTTCCCCTAATATCAGGGTTCTTTTCTCGCCCCTTCAATAAACTCTTTCTAAGTAAGAAATGACATTTAAGTGACTCACTGTGAAGTGGATCAAGATGAAGTCACAGTTACTCCTCCCTTGGAATGTTTGCATTCTATGGGCCTTTAACACCTTGCCTGGGGCAGCTGGTTCTAAAGGTGTAATTCAGGCTTTCATCAACACTTCAGTTCAGTTCAGTTCGGTTACTCAGGGGTGTCTGACTTTTTGCGACCCCATGGACTGCAGCACGCCATGCCTCCCTGTCTATCACCAACTCCCGGAGTTTACTCAAACTCATGTCCACTGAGTCGGCGATGCCATCTAACCATCTCATCCTCTGTCATCCCCTTCTCTTCCCACCTTCAGTCTTTCCCAGCATCAGGGTCTTTTCAATTGAGTCAGTTTTTTGCATCAAGTGGCTGAAGTATTGGAGTTTCAGCTTCAGCATCAGTCCTTCCAATGAACACTCAGGACTGATCTCCTTTAGGATGGACTGGTTGGATCTCCTTGCAGTCCAAGGGACCCTCAAGAGTCTTCTCCAACACCACAGTTCAAAAGCACCAATTCTTCAGTGCTCAGCTTTCTTCACAGTCCAACTCTCACATCCATACTTGACTACTGGAAAAATTATAGCTTTAACTAGATGGACCTTTGCAGGCAAAGTAATGTCTCTGCTTTTTAACATGCTGTCTAGGTTGGTCATAACTGTTCCTCCAAGGAGTAAGCATCTATTAATTTCATGGCTGCAGTCACCATCTGCAGTGATTTTGGAGCCCCCGAAAATAAAGTCTGCCACTGTTTCCACTGTTTCCCCACCTATTTGCCATGAAGTGATGGGACCGGATGCCATGATCTTAGTTTTCTGAATGTTGAGCTTTAAGCCAACTTTTTCGCTCTCCTCTTTCACTTTCATCAGGAGGCTCTTTAGTTCTTTGCTTTCTGTCATAAGGGTGGTGTCATCTGCATACCTGAGGTTATTGGTATTTCTCCCGGCAGTCTTGATGACAGTTTGTGCTTCATCCAGACCAGCATTTCTCATGATGTACTCTGCATATAAATTAAATAAGCAGGGTGACAATATACAGCCTCGACGTACTCCTTTCTCTATTTGGAACCAGTCTGTTGTTCCATGTCCAGTTCTAACTGTTGCTTCCTGACCTGCATACAGATTCTTCAGGAGGCAGGTCAGGTAGTCTGGTATACCCATCTCTTTCATAAATTTCCAGTTTACTGTGATCCACACACAGTCAAAGGCTTTGGCATAGTCAATAAAGCAGAAATAGATGTTTTTCTGGAACTCTGTTGCTTTTTTGATGATCCAGCGGATGTTGGCAATTTGATCTCTGGTTCCTCTACCTTTTCTAAAACCAGCTTGAACATCTGGAAGTTCACATATTGCTGAAGCCTGGCTTGGAGAATTTTGAGCATTACTTTACTAGAGAGTGAAATGAGTGCAACTGTGTGGTAGTTTCAACATTTACACAGTCTGGTGACAAACGGAAGGTCAAAGAGTCAAAAATCTGGTCAACACACCCTTTGACCCCAGGCCACTCTGCAGGCAGCCCTTGGGAGCAGGCAGCCTTGCTCCGAACCCTGCACAAAGCTGGTACCGAGGACTGGATGTGACCTGGGGCCACTCGGGTGCTACCCTCCTGGGGTTCCAAAGATTTCCATGGAAAACCTTCTGTCATCTCTCTAATGATACTATCTAAACATGACTTGGAAGTCTTTTTTATATTATACACTTTATTCCTAAAATCTTAGCATGAGGTACACTTTCTCCTCTGAAAGCAAGCTGTCCTGCCTGCCAGGTTTCCTCTGCTACAAGTTTTAGAGTGCAAATACTTTCTCACAGGCCTTTTGTCCCACACCACCCCTCTGCCCTGAGGTTAGAATGATATTTCAGATCCAGAAATGGGAAGAGAATTTTTCCAATTATGTTTTTGGTGCTTTATTATTCCAACCAATCCATATAAATGCAAATAGGGAATTAGGAAGATTCCTCTGCAATACAAACTTCTCTCATCCTTACACGATGGACATCATGATTGCCATGAGCTTACTAATACAGTCACTGTTTTTCAACTTTGCAGAAGGAAGTGATGTCTATTGGCCTATCTAATTAGCTTCCCCACCAACTATGCTAGGAGGATTTTTTAAAAAGCCAAAAATCAAAAAAACACCGCTTTCCCTGACAATCACCTGTCAGATTTTCCACCATTTCTTGGGAGCACTTTACATCTCCTCCAGGAAGCCTCCTGGGGCTGTGGAGCCTGTCTGCAGGCAGGCAGTGGATGGATTCCCTCCTGGCATTTCCAGATGCTCCAAGGAGAGTCCGGGCTTGCAGTGGAGGATAAGGACAGTGGAGGGACCAGTAGAACTGCCAGGACAGTCCTAAAGCTGCCTTCATAGGGGTGTTGTGAACAGTAACAGGATAATACATGCCAGATGCCTGGTACCTAACATGTGGGCTTCCCAAGTGGCACTAGCGGGAAAGAATCCACTTGTCAATGCAGGAGACCTGAGAGCCGGGTTCAATCCCGGGTCGGGAAGATCTCCTAGAGTAGGAAATGGTAACCAGTATAACCAGTATTCCTGCCTGGGAAATTCATGGACAGAGGAGCCTGGTGGACTACAATCCACGGAGTTGCAAACAGTCAGACGTGACTGAGCACTCACACATACAGCAGATGGTCACCAAGGGCTAGCTATTACTCTCATATGCACTTTAAATTAAATTTTAAATATATATACGAATGTATATTGAATGTTCCATCAAATTTATAACTGTAAATTTTTTTCTATTCCCCATAAATATATTTTTCTTAAATCCATGTCTCGCTTTAGAAATTTGATATTTTCAAGAATAATAATAATAATAAAGCAACATCACCCTCATAGACATAAAGGCCAGGACCTCAGGGACAGAAAGCAAAAGGACACAAAAATCCTAAGTCCTAAAATACATTAGGACTTGTTCATCTCATCTGTGTCTATACTGATAGAGTGAAATGGAAAATATAATGGTTTTCTTGGTTAGAACGTCCTTAGTGTTTTTTACAGAATTAAACGTGCACATACATATTTATTAAGGTTATGCATTTGAGGTAATAACTGATCAACCGATGTTGCATTATCCTTTTTTTTTTTAAAGTAATGTCAAGAGTTTCTATGGAAGGGATGCCTGGTCTTCTCTGGAGCAGGAGGGAGTGGGGCTTTAAGAAGCACAGATTAGGAGAACTGACTCACAACGGACTCCCCCCCCCCCACCCCCGGTCCCCATAGCAACGATGGGTCATCAGTAGTTTTTTGGTTGTCTTGATCTTTACCAGCGATATTTTTGTGTTTTAAGATTTAAAAAGAAGATAAATTTCCAAGACAAAACCATGATCCATGTCTAAGTTTATTTGATGGAAAAGGGTGGCAAGAGTTAGATCCAGAGGGCTCTGCTCATATTTGTTTCTGGTATCAATCGACTGAGGAAAATACACTTGTGTCATGAGCCTTAACTTTGCTTACTCTCACAACACTTTTTTAGAAGCTGAAATAACACATCCCCAAAGCATTGGCCTTGCTAAGCCATTTCAGAAAACCATGTTGAAAAGAAAAAAAAAAATCAGTATTATATTACAGGCCCAGGAAAAAAATCATACCATTGTCATCATAGTAAAGACACTCATACTTTTTGGTCAATTTAAGTCAAAGCAAATGTGTCTATCCCTACTCAGGCAAGCTGCTAATTGATCACATAAATATTTTATTCTCCCACAGTGAAAGTTTGACACGGGCTTACATTTTTTAAAGCTTACTCTGTACCAGTAAGGAGAGTGAAGATATTTAAGAACTGAGAGCATACCGATACTTAACAATAAAGATATAACTGACTTTTAGCACATTAGTCACACTATACAAATTTGAGATTAATTCCCAGAGTCCTTTGCACACTTATTCACGTTTTTGCTCTTTGAAAGGAAGTTTTTTTCACCCCTGTGCCGACACCATTGCGAAAGGACCTTTTCTTAAGTGTCTTCTCCAAAATTGGCTTTAGAAAATCTAGTCCCTCTCTCCTGTCCATCCTGGTTGGGCAGCTGTTCAGCAGAAGGACAAAGTAATCAGATTTTCCAGACACCTGGCAATTAAGATGGGGGAGAGGGAGAGAATACAGCTTTAGGGTTCAAAGCTTTTTCAATCGTAACAATTTTCAGAATCTTATGGTGATAAATCCAATATAGCCAATATTCAAAGAGGGTTTTGCTAAAACACTTTTTAAATACAGACTTTATCAAAATACAAAATACTGTTTGAAGCTGTCTACCCTCTTCTCTAAATTTTGTACTACTTATGTGATTGCAGCTATTCAGTATTTGCATCGTATACCCTATAGTTATCTTGTTGCTATTACTTTATAAAGAACCTTTCAAGTGGCACTAAGTAGTCTTGGGAATACTTTTTTTAATTCACCGAGAAAAACAACCCACGATAACCAAACTCCAGGCTTCAGTTGCAGTCACTTTCCTTCTGAGGCCTGTCCCGAGTCATTTTCCAAGTCTCTCTCTCCACAAGAATGTCTTTGAACTTGAGAGTCAACATCTTTCTCTCTTGACTTTGGCTCAGTTCCACCAGGGGCTAAAAGGCCTGAATGATGTAAGATGGTACAGGGGGCACTTAGCTGTGAGAGAAACAAGTCTGACATCTTAGAGCTCAAGTTGGCCATCGAGAACACGCAATTCAATCCCATACTTTGTAGATGGAGAAGTTAAATAAAGACCTGAGGGGCATGATGGATAGTCTTTGTGCTATGTGCTTATTTGTATCACTTGATTTTAACCCCTCAAAAAGCTTTTTGAAGTTGGTACTATTATTTCCTTGCTTGTAATTTCCCTTAAATAAGGAAATTAATTACATGGCATATAGGTGAAGCAGGACTTGATTGAGGCATCAGACTCCAAGCCCGTGTTTTTCAACTGTGTGAGAGCTACAAGAGGAAAGGGGGCTGAATGCTTTTATTACAGATAAAGAATGTTCTACAGTGCCAAAAGCACACATTTCCTCTCCCAGTACAGGAAAACATGTTTGGTTTGGGAGTGACTTGGAAAGTAAAGATGGGACCAGAGTGCATCTCAAGATTCTCCACCCCCCACTAGGGTGGAGGCTCCCTAAGTGGTCCAGCAATCAGAGCCCCTAGAAAAACCATTCCCACCGGTCTCTGTGGGAATGCACGGGCATTTAGGAGTTTTAGATCTGGGAATAATCAGAGAATTTCAGAGGTATTGGTCATATTTGTCATGGGAAAACCAATCAAAAACTCTTATACTCTGTCTTACCCTGTATTAGTAGAGAAGATCTAAGCATGATATAATGCCATCTATTTTAAATTTCCAACAACAAGGGCCTATGAGTCATTTCAGGAAGGGGAACACTCCAGTTCTTTCCAGAAATTGTCATAATTCCACATTTATATTGCAAACATACATATATATATGCATCAATCCTAGTTACAACAGCCCCCAAACATCAATGTGTGTGTGCTCAGTCTTTTGGTTGTGTCCGACTCTTCTCAACCCCATGGACTATAGCCCACCAGACTCCTCTGTCCATGAGACTTTCCAGGCAAGAATACTGGAGTGGGTAGCCCCTCCCTACTCCAAGGGATCTTCCTGACCCAGGGATCGAAACTGTGTCTTCTGCATCGGCAGGTAGATTCTTTACCACTGAGCCACCTGGGAAACCCAAAACATCAGTAAACAGCCCTAAAAAGATACTTTGCTGATCAATGAAGGGAGTCCTTGTCAGACAGACTCATTAACTGCATAATATTGTATATTTGCCTGCTTGATAAACTTTATGAAATTTACAACAAATGTTATAAAAGTCTCTATGTTCTTTGCATAATCATTCACCCTAAACAGTCAAATTGGCACCATTACTATGTGATGCAGTTATAATGAGAACAAAATTGTCATATGAAAAAATAGAAATATGGAAAATTCAGTGAAGGAAGAAACATTTCATTTATGGACAAGACGATCTCATAAGAACAACAGAAGAAAAAACAGTCTTAATTTTAAAAAAATGCACAAATGCCTTTGTTCAACAGAAATGTCATGAACAAACCTTCAGGGAAAGAATAGAAAGTAATTAGGAAGGCATTTGAGAAAATATACCAATTTGTGGATTGTTACTCATCTATTTGATCAATGTGTTGTCTTACAGAATCAATGACTAAATTAGTGTGGAATGCTCATAGGAATAAACGAGGAGAAAAGAAACTAGATTAAGTGAACAAGAAATAGAAAAATGACATGCAAAGATTCGTGAGAAGACTCATAATGCAAATAGCTAGATCATTATGTTGGGACATATAGTTATTGTTCAGAATTCATGTGGCACCTCATTGTCTTAAGAGGGGCTTCATAAATTACACTGATTTCAGTAATTACTGTGTGCCATGTTAAGTTTTACTGAAGCAGAGTCAAAGTATAAACATCTATCAATGACAAAAGGTATTTTAAATTTTTAAGAGAAGTATTGACATAACACAACTGAAACATCATGTAGAAACAGCATTAAAAATTCCAAAGAAAGAAAATGCCATTTTCTGAATGTCTTGATGAGTTCAATGAATACAGTTAGGAGTTCAACCAAAATTCTTCAATAAACATATGAATTAATATTTTATATTAGGTTTCATTGAGAACTGACATATTATCTATATCCTGTATCTGAAAAAGTTACCATTTTTGTAAAATTAAGAAATTTGCTGCTTTTGAAAAATAATCCATTGTATCTTTAATATAGTTTCAAGTGTTAAATGTTCACTTTGATTATGAGTTGATGCTTGTGAAACAAACAATTCATCATGAGCAAAGTAATTTACATTTTATGTTGAAATTATTTTCTTATGCAAGGCCAACTCTTAAATAATTCAAAGCAAAGTTTAATATAACCTGTATTACTATTGTAAAAATCTTCCTTTTTACCTAATTTTATGGTTCCTCATATTTCTTTCATTGTAAGCTCTAATAATAAATGAAATAACTTTTGTTACATATTTCTAGAGATTATTTTGAATTTACATACTCTACAATTTTAGTTATTTAGTCAAGCATCAAAAATAGAGGCAAAACTCTTACCTTAGAAGATGAAATTGGATGACACCAGAACACATGCATTGTAGAAATCAACAGAACCAGAATAAGATTGAATTTTAATGAACTGCAGAGTAGGGAAAAAAATTCAGAAAAGTCTTATGCAGGCAAGCATAAATTAAAAAGCGTATACAAATTCAACATTTTTCTTTGTTGAAAAATGCAATCTCTTACCTAATCATTCTGGACTTCCTGAGACCTCTACGGATGGGTGATTTTATTCCCAGATTCCTCACTCTTACTGTCAGATCCTCCTTGGGTGATCCTTTTATACCAGAAAAGTTCAAGAGTGAAAATGTCATCATGTCCCATCATAGGTGACTAATTGATTCTGGCTGAGGCCTTTTGTTCCTCTTAAGTTGGAAAAGGACAATAACATATAGGTGTTGTCATTGACCTACCAACTGCTGACTTTATTTAAAGTTTGCCATTAAAAATGTCCTTCAAAAGCCTTGTCTTCTAGACCAGAGGTCTTAAAAGGAAACAAAAGTTTGTTTAACTCAGAGTTTAAACACTTAAGAAGGATGACATTATTTCCTTAATATCCAGATGTCTATTTTCAGAGAATAATGCAAAAAGAATCCTTACAGGAATGAAGAGCATCAACCCAAACAATGTACATACATTGAGTTTTCTACAGCAGATGTCCTTTTTTAGGACTTCCGAGATTAGAGGAGAGAAACAAATGTCTCCCACCCCCTACTTGCCACTCATCCTCCAGATAAAGGGAAGGCACAATGTCTCCTCCCTTTCCATTGTTATTGTTCAGTCACTAAGTCATGTCCAACTCTTTGCGACCCCATGGACGGCAAAACACAGGACTCCCCTGTCCTTCATTGTCTCCCAGAGTTTCTTCAAATCCAAGTCCATTTGAGTCCATTTGCCACCCCTTACTCCTTTTGTCTGCAATGTTTCCCAGCATCAAAGTCTTTTCCAATGAATCAACTCTTCACATCAGGTGGCCAAAGTACTGGAGCTTCCACTTCAACATCAGTCCTTCCAATGAATATTCAGCATTGATATCCTTTAGAATTGACTGGTTTGATTCCCTCGCAGTCCAAGGGACTCTCAAGAGTCTTCTCCAGTACCGCAACTCCAGAGCATGAATTCCTCAAGAGCACCCAGTGTCTTCTTTATGGTCCAACTCTTACATCCATCCATGGCTACTGGAAAAACCATAGTTTTGCATCCCCAAAGTCCGGGGGCCGGAGTGCCTGCCACGGCCACTTTGTTCTCTCCGGGCATGAAATTCTCCAGGAAGCCGCTCCTGTCCTTGTGTACCATCTTAACACATGGCATGCACATTAATGACGGGTGTCCACATTAATAAGTGGATTCAGAAGCACTAAGGGTGAACAGATGTTACTGAGGCTCACAGTGGAGGGAAACACCAAGCCCGGTGCTGCTTCCTGCTTGGGTAACCAGTACTTCTGAGACAGAGCCAATAGTTTTGGAATACAAAGCAATGGAGGAAAATCCTTGCCTTCTCAAGATCAGCATCTTTTGGAGGACAAAGCTGTCCTATGTCTGGGATCTTGGCTGCCCACTAGCCAGTGCTGTATCCCTTTCTTTTGGGAACTACCCTGCAATATGATTCTTATGTGATTGTCAATCACACAGTTACACGCCACCTTCCACAAGGAAAAGTAGGCCACCTGATTCTCAAGAGAGTCCGGAAATTAGTGCCAAGTTGGGAGCTGGGGCATCTGATCCAAAATCTTTAATAGCCCTTTTGGAGACATTCTACAGAGACTTAAGACACCAAGTGACTCAACACCCATGTTTACTTTTGGTCTCTTCTTAAACCAAGCTAAAATTTTAAAAAGCAATGGAGAAAATCAATGAAACCAGAAGCCTATGCTTTGTAAAGATTTGTTTAGCTAGATAGGCCAAAAAATAAAAAAGAGAGAAAATACTTAAATTGTTAGCATCAGAGATGAAAGAAGCAGGATTGCTAATGACAGTTTAAAAAATTAGAACTATGAAGAAATACATGGGTACTCAGTATCTTGTAATAATTTATAATGGAAAAGAACCTGAAACTAAATAAACAGAAAGGGAGAGAAGATGACACAGATGGCATTTTGCTGAGTAGTGAGGAGAAATCGTTGAAGCAGTTTTGAGAAGGGTGTCTCTTGAAATGGAGATCGCTAACAGACCCTCAACAGACTTGAGTATTCATGGAATGTGTTACTGTCAGATGTGATGAAGGTGGTACTAACGAAGGAGGATCCACTGGAATGTTGAGAATCAGGTCAATCTCACCTCCCCGCCCCAGTTCCCATGTACAGACTCCTGCTTTGGCAGAAGACCATAGATTTATCCTGAAAAGAGGGTAAATCAGAGGACCTCCTGATGGAGTGACTCAGGTACAGTGGCATTACAGAGTCCTCTCCCACCAAAAGGAAGGTTGAACAAGCGTTTTTCTCAAAGCCGAGACGCATGCGTCAGTTCTCTGACAGGTCGGGCACAGGTCCATCAGCTCTTTACCCTGGAGACAAGTGAGAGGAAGACTCGTCTCTGAAGTCCACCCTATGCTGTGAGTGCCTGATGCAAGGTTTTTCTTTCAACTAGGATTCGATGGTGGGGAGAAGACAGGCATTTGAGCACTGAGTGAGTGAAATGAAAGTCGCTCAGTCGTGTCCGACTCTTTGTGACCCCATGGACTATGCAGTCCTTGGAATTCTCCAGGCCAGAACACTGGAGTGGGTAGCCTTTCCCTTCTCCAGTGGATCTTCCCAAACCAGGGATTGAACCCAGGACTATGGCCTTGCAGCCAGATTCTTTATCAGCTGAGCCACAAGGGAAGCCTGGATGCCTGAAAATGTGGGGTGGAATCCAGGTGTATCTTGGAGCAGGGAGATGAGACTGGAGTCAGGGGCATCTAGAAAACTCTGCCAGACACTGGTTCACAGGGCTTTGCTTGGGACCACCACCTCCTTTGGTAACTGTGCCTGTCATGTGATGTCCATGACAGGCATTTCTGGCTCAATTGGAACCTGCAGAGACCCATTGTCAACACCAAAAGGGCAGGTTAGTGCTCCATTCAGCCTTGGAATTTAATAGACTTTTCATTGAAAGTTTATCCTCTTATTTGTCACGACACAACCATCTTTGAGTCACCCAAGCCCTTTTCACATATTTCCTTATGGCATCAGTGTGAACAGCAGAGGGAGAAGGGACATGTTCTTTTTGACTTTTTCTTCTCATTGGTCAAACCTGAAGTTGAGACACGCATTCAGAACCGTGTTTCAGAAGTTCAAATACATCATGTATTTTGGACAGAAAAGATCAACAGGAGCCCTTTCTTTTCTAATTTCCAGAGCTTCCTTCCTGTTATGACCCCAAGAAATGTCCCCCAACCACCACCTTGATCGCTACTGCATTTGGCTCCCTGATGAAAGCAGGACTTGGAAATGTGTTAAAATGATTTTAAGGGAATAAGTGACAAGCTGAAAAAGGTCATCAGCTGAAATTAATTTAGGGTTTTGGTGTCTTAAAAATAATTCTACAATTGATTCCATTGCCCCTAATTATGACACATGTTGAGCCCTGCATCTTTCAGCATACATGGAAAAATCAATTTCATCTTAACAGCTTCTTAATTCATACAACTGCTCTGTCCTCTGAAAGTATAATTAAAATGCAGAAAGTGGCTGAGTGCATTTTCTGGTTTTATACCAGAGTAGGGGAAATAAAGGCTTAGGCAGAGCTTAGGTTAATTTATTGAAATAAATCATCTCTCTGGTGCCTGGTTGCTCCTAAAATGCTCTGTTAGAGTTTTCACTTGGGCGTTCAGAACAGGCCCAGTGTTGGAGATGGAAGTTCTATGGAAATAAAAGGCAAAGACAATCCAGAAGGTGCTGGTGGATCATAAAAAATGCAAGCAAGTCTCCTTGCTTCAGACCATCGTTTCTCGGTGTCGGCGGTGTTGAAATTTGTAGCTGATGGTTTTTGGCGGTTGGTTCCTGTGCGCTGGAGGAGGTGGGAGCAGCCTCTGTTGAGTAGAGATCAGTAGCACTCTACCCCGTCCCCCGAGCTGGGACAATGGAAAATGTCTCTGGACACTATCAAATGTCTCCAGGTAGGGGCCAAACCACCTCCACGGAGAACCACTGTTTAGAGGTAAGTTCTCTGCTCGCTCACTCTCCACGGTGGTGGAGTCTGTGGGCGGACATACATTTCACAAGCGTGGCATCACTGTTGGCTGGCGGTATGTTTTTCTTGCTTGGTGATGGATAAAATAGTGGTGTATCTTCTAATGGATAAAATCTTAGGTTCAGAGGAATAGTACTCACTTTTATAAAAGAACTATCAATGGCAGTATTTGAGGCATGTTACTTAATATTACATGTTCATTTAAATAATAATGAAAGTGAAATGAAGCAAAAGTGCTGGTCGCTCAGTTGTGCCTGATTCTTTGCGACCCCATAGATCAAGCCTGCCAGGTTCCTCTGTCCACGGAATTTTTCAGGCAAGTATGTTGGAGCAGGTAGACATTCCCTTCGCCAGGGGATCTTCCTGACCTGGGAATCAAACCCGGGTCTCCTGCACTGCAGGCAGATTCCTACTGTCTGAACCACAAGGGAAGCCCAATTAAGAACGAAGTATGCTCTTAACTGTTTTCACCGATATACACTCTTAGTTACACACTTCTGCACCTTGCCCTACTCTTCTTACACTTTGGTTTTATTTTAATAATACCCTGAAGTTGTTTTTAAGAAGGCAGATGTCATATTAGACATAGTGTCATCATATCATAAGTGGCGTTTTGGTAAATAAATTCTATTAATCACTGATGTGATGTCTACAGTATGCTACTGATGCACCTGGTGAATGGCAGCCAGCAGTGGCCTTTATAAGGAAGCATCGTGAGGAGAGGAAAACCTGCTATAAAGCACCTTGTTCTGCCAGAGACTGGACGCCTCCGGAAAGCATTTTCGGGAATGATCTTCACAGCAGCCAACACTTCATTTATGAATTCATCCAAGCACAATGAAGGCCCACTCTCTTCCAGGAACTGTGCGAGTTTCTGGGGACGCAGCCATAAAGAAACCCCACAAAGGATAAATGCAGAGGGGAAAGGACAACTCCAAGGTCAGGGTGGGGGTGGGCGCAGCACCTAACAGAACTTGGCCTTGACTGTGAGGAAGGGCAGAGCGGCACGTGCCCCCAGGGGACAGGGAAGAAGCACACGGTCATCTGAGGACTAGAAGGTGGCTCAGTCTGGTGACCACAAGGATTCACTTGGGATGGCCCAGGGGT